ATTTCACGTCGAAATTCTGTTTTGTTTTATTTTTCGGTATGTGCCTAAAACTTGGTCAAAAATTCAGTACAATGATCCTCAATAGGCTCCAAAGACCCATGGGAACGAACTATTTTAGGCTTTTCCTAGTCTTATCGAAACCTCCTTGTGAGCTCAATATAAGTTCAAACAGTGAGTGTCAGTTCGAGTGGTTTTCTTGCTTAAAACAAGATAAGTCTGAAAACCCTTTAAAACTGATAATAATAATCATCGAGATTCATTTCTTAGGTATAAAAAGTATTACTTCAATAGATGAAAACGTTTATCATTGAAGAATTTAAAGAAATTCTATGAATAGAAGTATATCAATTAAGAAAAGTTAATCATTCTCCTCAATTCTGTCTCTGGTTTTTTTTTGTCCATAGATTCTTGACGATCAATTACTTGTTTTATTATATAAAATATTCTTATGTACAATTATTAATCTTTTCAACGTATGATCATGTTATCACTTGTATGAACAAAAAAACAAACATATCAAAAATATACGAATAACAAAGATAACAGAACCAAACTTCGTTATAAACTTCATCGAACTTACTTTTTACTACATATGCTTTAATACAATCCTATCGTCAATTATATTTTTTGTGTTTCCTGAAAAAAGTGTACCCGTGATTTAATAAATCTAGAAGTTTGTGTTTTAAGTTGTTTTTTTAAAAGAAAAATTTCTTTAAAAGAAATTCTTATATTAATATTTATATAACATACCTGAACAGAGATAATCTTCAAATTTATGTCCCCAATAACACATTCGTTTTTCAATAGGGGTTTGACCAAATTCAATATTTAATTCTGTTTCTGTATGAAATACATGAAAAAAATAAGCACCACGATAATGAATAACACCAATACGCCAATCAGTATCATAATTAAATAATGATGACATAATTTTTCTTATTGTTCCACGCCATGCAACAAAATCAAATGTAAATCTTTAAACAACAAGAAAAAAAAAATTAATTTAAGGGTTTTTTTTTGAGTTATAAATAAATACCATACCGTCCTTTTTTATCTAATAAACTTGTTTTATGTCTACTAATCCACCAAAGTATAGAATCAAGTGATGTTGATGGTTCAGCTGGATTTAAATAAGCTGAACCAATATTAAGATCAAATTCAATTTTCATTTGTTTTAATTGTCTTATATCATTAATATCATAAATAAGTTGTTTTAAATAACGAAAATCTTCTCGACAACGATTTGCATCTGAACGATCAGCTGTTGAAAAATAGCCAATATCTTTTAAATAAAATGAAATATTTCGTCCATGATATTTTGACCAATGTAATATAGATAAACTTGTTGGAGATATATAATCAGATGGAAATTGTTCACATGGAATAAATATAGGTTTATTATGTTCCATATTAGGTGGTAATGGAAGTTTTATATCAATAGAAACTATTTCAGGAATATGATGATGTTTTTTTTTCTTAGTTTTATCTTTAATAATCGATAATGATGGTGGACATGGTGATTCCATATTTGATTGTAATGTAAATGCAACTTGTCGAGATAATTTACCTCGACCTGTACCATCAAGAAAAGTATCTTTATTAAAATAAGTTAATGATGATGACATGATGATTGATCAGTGCGGATAGATCGACTCTACTATAAATGGGAAAATGATTTAACTATTTAAATAAAATCCATACATATATATGTATGTATGTATATAGCGGAATAAACTCGTGACATATTTGAAGAAAGAAATAATGATAGAAAAGAAAAAAAAACAAAATTATTTTATGACTCATACATACTTCATGCAATATATATGTCGGGGTTGGCTTTAAAGTTCAGTTGTCTTTAAAAGATAACTAATTGTCTACTGTTCAATTGAAAAGCTAACCAGTGTCTGATCTCGTTTCATCGAAAAATTAGGATTAACTAATTAATTTTTCTGCTTTATCGATACTTTTTATTCGATAATATTTTATCAAGAAAAACAAAAACTTTGTATTGAAGAAAGTAATTGTAATAATAGAAATAAGAATATAATTTAACAGTTCATAAGATAGTGGCAAGAAAATATTGATGTAATTTTTTACTAATTGTTTTACTAATCTTATTAAAATATGCATCTAATGACAAACAATGTTTTTCATGTCGTTTCATTAAATCAAGAATTTGTTGATTTTGAAAAACAAATTTTTTTATTTCTTGAAGGCTTGTTTATACTATTGTCATTACGTTGAACGCATAATCTTTCTTTAATTCATTAAATAACTGCATATAAGTTTGGATTGGAGGTGGCAATATTATCATTAATTCGGTGGTGCCAGCCTTTCGATTTGGGTATGCGCGGGTGCAGATGTGAATGTAGAGAAGGACAATACCCACACCCATAACCTTCTGACTTTTCTACTGATCGTATAACGTTCGGAGAGTGTCATTATTGTTTTTGTTCAGCAAAAGTTTGAAATTATTTCAGAAAAAAAACTTGTGTCAATGAAACAGGAAGATGCCCTCAACTGGTTGTTTTTAAGCCCCCCCCCCCCCCCCGTCAAAAATGTTGATTTTGAGATTTTTATATGGTTGGATAGCCTTCATTGTCTACTTTCGAAAACACTATGATTATATCGGTATTTTGATGCTTTTTCACTGTTTTACCCAGGGTTTACTGATGATGCTGGAATAAGGAAAAAAATGTTTTTTTTAAATATTAGTAATTGTTGCCTTTTGAATCTTTTCTAAGGTTTCTCATAATGAAGAATCTCGCGAAATGTGTGAAATAGAAAGGACTGCAAATCTTCGAACAAGTGGACTCATACCCTATATCTCTTTTCCTACCCGTGTTTATTTAATTATGAAATTAGTTTCAGTGTTATGTCAAAAGAGGCGCTTTCTAACATAAGTATACATTCTCTTCTCTTTCTTCGGCTTCATTCTTTCACGTTTATAATCATTCCTTTCTTCTTCTCATCTTTTGTCTACCTAAGGAATTCGTATTGTTAGTCTATGTATGGGTGCGCGTGTGGAATGGATAGAGTTGGTTGTGAATGAATGACATGAATACCTACACCTCGTAGGTTTTTTTCTCTTCTAGATTCAGATTTTTAGGCACTGTACACGTGCGTGCAAGTGTTCGTTTGATCCGGCATAGTCGATAACACATAGTAGATTACGATCGATGTATTTCCTCTACCTTTTTTACTAAACAAGAACATTAATTTTCAATTGTAAACTTTGTTAGGCGTTTTTCTCAAAACAATTTTTTTAATTTTTGTTTTCTGTGTGTGCGTCCCAGGTTTCTCAGCCATTTTACATACTAGAAAGTTCAGAAAGGTTTTAAATTGAGGAAGAAATTGTACTCCACAACTTAGCAGAGATGGATTTTTTATTCTGACTTAGTTCTTGAGAAAAAATGGTTCTTTTTTCACAGGAGTACCCATATTTTTTCGATTTTTCAAAAAAACTATTACTTGACGCAAACCCCATTTTATTCCATACTTTCGAATGAATGGTATAGAATCAGTTGGCAGAGTGTCAAGAATAGTCTCATTACAAAGGGCTCACTGAATTACCTTTTGAATGTATAAATCGGGTTGCTTCATTCATGTAAATAGTATCTTCATTAGATTCACAAAACCACTGTTGATGATCAGTGGATCAATCAGGGCGGTATTCGATCATTATCGACTGAAAAAGGTTCTTATGAACAACACCTTTTTATATATTCTGATAGAGAAAAATATTTCTGCGGCGAATGGATCCATTTTCGATGATTCTTACACAGATATTAATGGTCTTTTCCTGCAGAAACTGATTTTTCAGTCTTCCAAAAATGTTTCATTTTTCATTTGATAGTTCAACATTAACACAAGATATGAGACTGAACAAATTATTTAGTTCACTGTCGATTGCTACTTTCATTATAGAGAAAAAAGCTTGTCAAGATGTAGCTTTATGTAAATTGTCATCTTGTTTGTCTCAGGTAGCAATACACTACAAAAGCCAAGATATAGTACCAGTGTTATCCCTTATAATCAACTCATTGATTTCAACAATGTACTGCAAATTGTTTTTAGTACACCATGTAGTTCATTAATCGTCGATTCATTTATATCAGTCTATCAATAGAGACTTCTTGGTTATACATATAGTGAAACAAACGGTTTAATCATGTACTATCAGAGAGACAATATATGGTACAAATGGCTCTTCTTCTTACGCGACTAGCAGCAGCATTGGTTGGTTAAACATAGAATGCGGTGGCATTACTTATACACTAATTGCCATCATAAATAATTCTTTTCAAGGAGCAGTCGATGAAATTAACGTATATCATCGAACATTGACAGTTGATGTAATCGCTTTATTAGCTAATCATTAGGAATTGAAATTTGTATAGCTTTTGTTGTGATTTCATAACTTTATATTTTTCTTGTAACCTTGAATTTATAAACTAAAAGATTTTCCAGTAAATAGGTTTTTGAAAAGATGCAATGTCAGACAATATTTTGTGCAATATTGAGTATAATTTCAAAACAGAAAGAAGCAAAATGATTCACAGCATGATATAATAGATATGTACACATCTGAAAAGTTGTCCTTCTGAAACTGATTACTAACGAGCGAAAAACAATCCAATGTTTAAAGTTTTAACGAAGAATCCAAAATAATTTCACAAATAAAATTCAGTTAGTGGGAATCATTACTGTCGTAAAACTCTCGTTTCTATGAAATTTTAACATATACTTATTCGACAGATTATGAAAGAAATGTGTCAGTATGAAAAGAAAAGAATTTGTCTCGCAATTCATCAACGAAGTTTTCAATTATTTGGCTCCTTTGCAGCAGATCACGTGTAACTATATGAGATAAGCTTATGCATACAGATTAGAAATCAAATAATTTGTTTTTTCTCTTCTTTCTATTGTTACACATAACATCAAACCGATTAATATATTGTATTTAAATCTTAAACTACCATAAAATTCTCTGTATTCTTATGTATTATACATTAGTAAACGATACTCTTGTGTTGATCTTTAGTTTTATTGGAATGTTAGCTGCAAACAACACCAAAAATTCGTTCATTAGCTAAATTACTTGCAACAAATTCATGTATAACTGGTTTCCCACTTAATCTATTAAATTTTATTGATACTGTCATTATATATTATGCCGATGCTAATATCATCAATGAAAATCAACGACAACCAGATTCTTTTTGTGTTCTCAGAGGTAGTTTTCGCTCTGCTACTGTTAGCGCTATGTATCATTCATTATGGTAAATAAATTGTTTTTTTTCAAGGAGATACGTTTAAAGTTACAAAAAAAAACTAAATTTCGTCTCGTTGTTAATATGTAGTATTTCTTTATTTTATAAAAATAGTATTCAAGCATTCTACCATCTTTGTTGCATAGTCTATACAAAACTTCGTTCATTACGTTCTCATTCATATTATATTTGTCTTATTATAATTCAATGGATTATATCAATAAGTTCTATTGTACCTATTTTCTCTTATTGAATCAAATTGTTTATAATCTTGGTAGACATTTTTGTTAAATAACTCTTAAAAATCTTTTTGCTTTTCCTTTCATGTATTTAATTGATTATTTTCTTCTATTGATATTTATTAGTTACATTTATATAAAAATTATTATTTATCTTCGTCATCACAGTATAATGGAGTATTTTCGTCGACAACAACCAATTCATATGTTACGTTACATTATTTATATGCTTGTTATTCTTAGTACAACTGGTATTTCATTACGAATGATTCTTTTTCTGACTCATATTAATCATAGATTAGTACCATATTATGCACAAAAACTAAGCATGATATTTGTTACATTTTCACATGCAAGTGTCATGACTGATAGCTTCTTTTAATACTTGATGTATGTCATAGTTTTATTCGATCATTTAGAATTCCTTATCAAATGACAACACAGATAGAACATATATTTCCTATTGAAATATATTTACCTATGTTGAATATTAATTTTTGATTGTTCTTTTTAATAAAATGTAAAAAGAAAAAAACTAAGCCAAATACACAACGTTTTCGCTTTATTTCGTTCCTGATGATGAAAATGCTTTCATATACTACATGTCGAAGTAAATATTGCGCATGTTTGATTAGTTTAAAAGTAAAAACAGTTTTTGCAGATGTTGTATGCTCATGTAACAGCATTATACATGACACTCATTTCTATGTCGACAACAACAATACCAGGATGAATAATGCAATTATATTTTAGAAAGAAACAACGTACACAGAAACGATAATATTGTTCGAATGGAATATGCAGACATAAAACAACAATAGTTACCATTAAATAATTTTGTTAACAAAAGTATGAATAGACCAATTAAAGTTGTAACTATTAGACAACCACAAGCTGTATATCAACAACCGAGAGATACTTACGAACGCAATGACGATGGATATGATTATCAGGATGAAAAATTATCAACGTATCGAAGTGTGGTAGGTTAAAATATTTTATTTTACATATTGTTTATTAAATGCAGACATATATAGAATTCTCAATCTAATATTGAATTAATGCGAACACAAGATTTTCATCGGCAAGCATCAAATGGAAAAAATTTGTATGATTAAATCTTTTTCTAAGAATCTTATTAGTTTATTCTATTGTTCGCATATTAGATCTTCTTCATACACATCTTCGAATGGTTTACTAATTGCTGCTGGTATTCTATTACTTTTAATCATTTTCATTATTGCACCAAGTGTTCTCGGTGTGCTTCTCACACGAAATCCAATAGGTAGAATTAAACTTATTTTCATTCCTTATTCAATTAGATAATTATCACTTTTTAGTGTCAAATAATTCAACAACAACTTCTGCTGCTACAGTTTATACAGCTTATTGGAGTTTTGATAATGATGCTAATGATTTATATGGAACATATAATGGTACTCTTGTCAATAGTGCATCATTTTCAAACACTACTTATTTTGGTCATGGTTTTAATTTAGCATTAAATGATTCAGTGAATCAATCTGTTATTACTACAAATTCATTTTTCAATTTATCTTATACAAGTTTTACTGTTGAAGCATGGATTTATGGTATTGCACTTACAGGTGATAGATCCATATTTTCTCAATGTCAATGTAGGACTTGTCAAAGTCAATGTCTTTATTTAATTATTCGAAATTATAAAATGTATATGGGTTTTATGTTAAATGATCTCGTAGGTTCAACATCATTATCGATAAATACATGGTATCATGTTGCATATGTTTATGATTATTCAAGTCGAACACAATCAATTTATTTACAAGGTGTTCTTGATGGTACAAAAACATCAGCT